TCCCCCCCCCCCCCCTCCTTCTCTGTCGTTAGGTGTTTGTTTGAAACGAGATTTAAACTTAAATGTAAAGTAAAGTTGATGATCACTGAGGATCTATAGGGCTGGCCATCTGTCCCTCGTTGCCACGTCTGCGACGTCTTGGTGGTCCATTTTGGGGCTGGTGCGCAGCAGCATCGGCACTAGCACTGGCAATGAAGCGCTCTCAGGTAGAATCTACCCCCTCTTTCTGTCACTATGTATGCGCGCTCGTGCACGTGCCCTTTTTCACCCCTGCTCTTACTGTATTCAACTTTTTTACTGGTATCAATTTAAAAAAGCAAAGGGTGAAGAAGAAAGAGAGAGAGTAATAGTAATAGAAGCAATAATAATAGTAGAAGTAGTAATAACAGCAGTAGTAGTAGAAGTAGTTATATCAGTACTAGCAGTAGTAATAGTAGAGTCGAAGAACATTTAACCGGATTGTTCTGATAGAAATTCTAATAGCGATATTTATGCTTTTTCCACTGATTGATCGTAATTTTTTGAAATGTTAAAATACATAAATATCTACGCGAAGAAAAGGTATTATTATTTCATATGGTTAGAGATTTTGTAAAGAAATGAAAAATGGCTTAGGAAAATAGAATAATGTCTAATGAATATGAAATGGTGAATGAAGAATGTCTGTAAATAATAAATATTTTAATATGCAATTGCAGTAACATTTATTACTATGAAGATGAATAATTAGATTACACGCCGAAAGTTCTGAAATCTGTGACTTTTTAAATATATTATAGGTAATCAGAAAATATCGACTGTAGAAAAAACTGTCTAATATTTACTAGATAAAAATTTAAAAGACCCTCAGCCAAATCGAATTTTTTTAATTAATGCGGAGTAGTAAATTATTAAAGAATCAAATCTTTCAATTTGTTTTTAAATTATACATATATAGAAATATAAAGTAATTTTGATAAGCTATAATTTTACAAAAATTTTCTCAAGATTGTATGTCTAAATTAAAGGTACAAATTCGTAACGACATTTGTGACTCCGAAAGTCGAGTAGCAAAACCTTCCTATTAACTGAAATAACAGAGTTCCGATTTATTTTAAGAATATCATGAAATGTTCCTTCATGCTACGCATCTGTTACAAGAATCTGCAAGTACTTCACAGCATGCAATGCTGAAATCATGAATTATATTTGATGATATAGATTGTTATAAATAATTACCAGTGAAGAAATACATAAATAAAATAAAATTCACTCGATATATCTATGCATAATTCTATATTCACATAAAATACTAAAATTGTTTGTAATATTTAAGAATTTAAATAGATTACTATAGAATATCTACAAAAAAATATGGACAATGAAAACAAAAAATGAAATAATAATAATAAAATTTCATTTAAACGTGCATCATTGAACTTCTTTTGAACGTATTCAAAAGTAAGATTAAAAATTAATATACTTTTTATCATTTTTAAAAACACTTATATCATGTATGATCAAATAATAAATAAACGATAATAATATTCAACAGATGAAACATTCATACGAAACGTTCAGTAAACATATCGCTATTAAATAATTAAAAAACTAAATTGTACACAGTGATCCACTAAACAGAAACTACATATAATATTCAAGAAATTAAAAAAAAAAAGAAAAAGAAATATTTTCAAATGTCATAAAATTGACTAAGTTGTATAAATAAGAAATTTTGTATAGCTATATATTTTTTTATTTATAAATCAAATCAATAGTAAAATTATTAAAGATTCTTCAACTTCCATCACAAAATCATCTTAATTTTTATTATTAAGAAATGAATAAATTTTTCTACAACGATAAATTTTTATCGGAATTTTTAATAAAACTTCAACTAAAATTATATATAATTTGAATTATTTTACAAATGTTTTAGAAAGATGTCTCGTTGGTTCGATCAATCGACCATACTCCTGATGGGTATGATGTTGTTTAGTATATTAATATGGAATACAGCGAAAAGTTCGATAATGAGGTGTGAAGAAGCAAAACTAAAATGCGCTTATAGAACAGGCTGTGGCACTGCTTTGCAGCACTATCTTACGGGCTGTGCGCCTGTTCTCCAAGGCAATGATTGTTCCGAGACCTGCCAACATGCCCTTATTGCTCTTACAAGCACTGATGAGGGCAAAGAACTTATGACAGTACATATTATTTAATTGTTATATTATTTCTGCTTTTAATAAGAAATAAGTACTATTTATCTAATTATCGACAATAAATAATCAACGATGTGATGCTAATGACGAATACTTTATACTATGAATTTATCTTAAGTTAATAATTCTTAATGAAAATTTCGAAAAATTTATAGTATTTATAAAATAATATAAATAATATATGTATATTAGATTAATTTTTCTTTTATTAAAGTCCATATTTTAAACAATTAAAATTTGTTACTTCTAGTTATTTTTTTCTTTTAAACAAAATTAAAGGTATAAAAAAATTTAATTAAAATAAATTTATTTTTACTATTAATTTGTTTTTTAAAAATCTGTAATAATTTAGCGACTAGACAAAAATAATTTCTGTATATGTAAAATGCGATTTTTTAATGAATATTCTTTTGTTATTTAGTGTGAGTGTGAAGACGA